TTTCAGCCATTATTTCTTCCAACAGGTTCTCTAACCCTTGCTTAGTTTAAATCTCTTCTGGCACTCCTATGATGCTAATATTGTTATGTTTCATGTTGTCCCACAGCTCCCTTAAACTGTCCTGTTTTTTGTTTTCTCTTTTTCGTTCTCTGATTTTTTCTACCCTGTCTTCTCATTTGCTGATCTGATTCTCAGCTTCCCCTAACCTACAGTTCATTCCTTCCAATGCTTTTTAAATTTCTACTATGTTATTCTTAATTTCCTTCATCGTTTCCATTTCTTTTCTCATTCTGTTGAGCATCCTTATAATCAGTATTTTGAACTCTATATCTGACAGATTGCTTATGTCCATTTCGTTTAGCTCTTCTGGAGAATTCTTTTGTTCTTTAATTTGGAGCTTGTTTTCTTTGTCTCTCAATTTTGGCTGCCTGTTTGGATTTGTTTTTATGTATTAGGTAGATCTGTAAGGACTCTCAGTCTTTTGGATGCTCTCTGGTGCAGGGCAATGTCAGATGCTGTTTGTGACTGGCCTTGAGTATCCTGTTTGAAGTTTTCTGCACTCCACTGCTTGTGGTTCCCTTTGCTGGGGCTGGGTGTGTTTGGACAGGACCAAGATGTGCACCAAGGTCTGCTTTTCCAAGCCCTGGGTTCAGAAGCAAATCAGGCAAAGACTCAAAGCACCCAAAGGCTGATTGTTACCAGTCTCTTAATGAGCCTAAGGCTGTAGACACTCCAGAGGGTGGGCCTGTCCCAAGTTTTGAGGATAGGTAAAATAATACATGCAAAACACTTAGACACATGCCAGGCACATAGTAAGTACTCGACAGACAGTAGCTATGATGTGGCTAAGCATGTGTGAAAAGTTAGAAATCATCATTTAGGCAATTATCTCCTTTTCTTGCTATCAGTACAGAAATGTGACAGCACCCAGAAGCAGGGATGGCTAACTTATCTACTGGTTGTCAGAATACCACCTCCATTCCTATGTTTCTTCCTCTCCAGGGACCTCATTCCTCCTATTATTCCAACTCATTCCTGGATTGTTTCCTCTTTACATCATCAGTGATATGTGGGGAAAAACTTTCTTACACTCTCCTCCTGCTAGTGCCTGCTCTCTCTTCCTTTTTTGTAGTCAACCTTCTTGAAAGAGTTACCTGTATTTATTTCTCTCCTTACCCTGCTATCTGGCTTCTGCTCCCACTGACAAAGTCTGAGCTACACTCATTTTCTTTCCTGAACTGGTTCTTAGTTGTATTCTCCATGTCAGTGAACAGTCATTACTCCATTCATTCACTGGATCCAGTCAGAAAGCAACATTACCTGATTTCTCCCTCACTCCCTCTCTATTCGCACAGCTACCACCTCAGCTGAATCACCACCACTTCCTCTCTATCAGCTGGGCAGCTGCTAACAGATCTCCGTGCCTTTCCTTTGATTTTCTCAGCTATCTGCCTCTGATATCACCTCTCTTTTGTTTAAAAGCCTTCAATGACTCTCAGGTGTTCTCACCTTGGATTAAAAAGCCTTCACAATTTTGACTGTTTACCTTTTCCATCCTCTTCTCTCTTGCTAATACTCCCTTTAAATTTCTGCTTGAATCACATGAACTGAATTTGCCATGGTTTTTCTTGCCTTCATACATATTATTTTATCTATTTAGTAGTCACTGAGTTCAGACAACAATGGGTTGATAATTCTTACCAATTTTGCAAATATGAATTCTTTTCCTGACTGGAAAAATGAGAAAATTAACTACCTGTAGAGAGCAGTAGTCTATCTACATTACAACAATTAAACTATTCTGAGGAATGACAACAAACTTAAAATATTTCTGAGAATTTTTTTCTTAGAGTAAATTCACCGTGTATTGACAGTACCACAGAATAAACTTATTTAGTACTAAAGATTCTATGTATTACCAGTTTGTAATAAAAACTTAGGGTGGAAAAGTAGACAGTGAGACAGTGTTTCTTCTCATGTCCTTTGGTGGGGAATAGTTTATGCCAGGGCCAAAGAGTAGGTAAAAACATCAATATTTTGTAAAGTAAAATTTGACTTGGAGATTTAAACAAAATTATTGACATAATTGTCTTTTTTTTAGTGTAAAGTCTACATTTACTAAGAAATGTTTTGTCCCAGGAATTTCTACATTCTTCTGTGTGAATGAGGAATTTAAATTTATTTAAGTTTCCATAATAATAATGCATCAAAAGAAATCTGGAATACTGTTTGGTTAAACTTGACATTAGTATCTTTTGCTCTATATACTATTTATTGCTCCGTAACTTTGAGTTTCTTGACAAGTTTAATCACATTACTAGCATATTTCCAGAAGGCTTTTTAAGAACTAGAAATCCTGCACACAATTCATATACATTCTGAATATTTTGTCTTAAATGACTATTAAACACTACTAAATTTCCAAATAAAAAAAACTGGTAACAATATTGTTAGACAGACATGAACAGAGGCCAGGTACAGAAAATTCGAGTACAGAAACTCACCAGGGCAAAAAGCCCCGGATGCCTAGAAAAGAGCAAAACTGGGAAAACAAGAACCTTGCCCCAGGGCAAACTATCCTTCCCTAGCATATTGCTGTTCATGCAGTTTAGACCCCAGGAGCATTTCCTCCCTAAAGATAACATCTAGGCCTCAGGTGTATTTCATTTCCAGGCCAAGATAAGCAGCAAAACCAGACAAGTGGTGCCCTGGCTGCCTTAGGACCAGCTACACTGACTAACGACCCCTTGCCCTGGCACCAACCAATCAGTGGAGACCACGATTGAGCACACCTGGAAAGAGCACACCTGGAAAGTTGATGAATATTCTATTAAAACACTCCCCTGAGACCTCCCTTAAGATTTCCACCTGCAGGAAAAGGATAAATACACTCAGGACAAAGGACCCAGTGCACATGCTCCCCACCAGGGGAGCATGCCAGCGCCATCTCATTCCCCCTTCTTCCCTCTGAGGGGAACCCATGAGACTTACAACCAGGGGAGCAATGGGCAGCAGCAGCTCATCCCAGGCTTACCCCTTGAATCTCTCTCCAAGACCCCCTTCTCTCCCTGACTTCTCAGTGAGCCAAAGCAGCCCAGCCTAGGCTCTCCTGTTACTTCTATTCACCTTCCTTGTTTCACTGTCCTAAGTATATTTTTGCTGCCATCATGGACCCCAATGACCCTCTAGATATCCCCACCCCCATCACCTTTTAATTAAATAAATTTAATTTTTCTTTATTCACTGTTTGAAATGGCTATTTAGCCTGCCAAGCACCACTGACTCTTAACCTTTCAAAAATTCAAAAAAATTAGCCATCTGTCATGAAAAATAAAAGTTGTGTTCAGTTTTCTGTTCTAACTTAAAAAAACAACTTCTTTCTGAATTTTAAGCAGTCAATCCTGGGAGAAAAAGACACTGAGAAAATTTAGTTTTGATTTGTTTTCTTTAGATGCTGTAGAAGCCTTGTGGGAAAGAGACTGAGGACACTCCAAGTTGAAGAAAATATGTGAGAAAGAGAGCTGAGGAAATGCAAACAGAAAGCAGCCAGGGACAGCTGAGAAGCAGCCCTCAGGAGACATCTGGCAGCTGGGCAATAAGCTGTTAGACTACCCTTAGAAAATCATTCCAGTTGATGTGAATTCAGCACATATTCTGAGTTCTGACTGTGTGTTATGTTCTGTGTACTTCGGATACATTGGCCCATCTAATTCTCAGATCTACCTCAGACTTCATGTAGGGAAAAGAATGCTAATGTGAATGAAAGGGGAAAGAATAGAAGATTAGGAAGAATAATATTTGCATGAATTAGAGACTACCTCTTTTTTATTAGATTATTATAGACTTATTAGAATTTATAGTTTTATAGATTACTTTTACATTTACTCACAACTCTGTAAAGCAGGCAGGACAGGACAAGTATCACCATGTAAATCTTTTAAAGGCTAAAGGAACGTACAGTTGCCCCTTGAACAATGTGCATCCACTTATACTTGGATTTTTAAAAATATAATGAAAGGTTAATGTGGTGGTGGTGCACGGGTAGGCTAAATAGTCATTTCAGATGATGGATAAAGAAAAATTAAATTTATTAAAAGGGGATGGGGATATCCAAAGGGAAGGGCTACATATCACTGAGCCAAAGGGTATTGGGTCCACGATGGCAGCAAAAATATACTTGGGACAGTGAAACAAGAAAGAGCATAGAAGCAATAGGAGAACCTAGGCTGGGCTGCTTTGGCTCACTGAGAAGTCAGAGAGAAAGAAGGGGCCTTGGAGACAGGTTCAGGGATTTTGGAGACAGGGGGTAAGCCCCAGATGAGCTGCTGCTGCCCATTGCTCCCCTGGTTGGAAGTCTCATGGAGTCCTCTTGGATAGATGGAGATGGCGCTGGTGTGCTTCCCTAGTGGGGAGCGTGCAGAGTCCTTTGTCCTGAGCATATTTATCTTTCTTGCAGGCGAGAATCTTAGGGGAGGTCTCAGGATTGTTGCACTAGAATATTCATCAACTTTTCAGGTGTGCCCCTTCTGGGTCGTGGTCTCCACTGATTGGTCAGTGCCAGGACAGGGGGTCATTAATCAATGTAGTTGGTCCGGAGGCAGCCAGGGCACCACTTGTCTAGTTTTGCTGCTTATCTGGGCCTGGAGCTGAAATATAACTGAGGCCTAGATGTTATCTTTAGGGAGGAAACGCTCCTGGGGTCTAAACCGCATAACCACCAATATGCTAGGGGAGGATACATTACCCTGGGGCAAGGTACTTGTTTTCCCAGTTTTGCCCCTTGCTAGGCATCTGGGGCTTTCTGCCCTGGTGAATTTATTACCCTAGTTTCTGTACCTGGGTTTCTGTACCTGGCCTATCTAATATGAATTTTAAAAAATCATGTATAAATGGACCCACGCAGTTCAAACTTGCATTCTGTAAGGGTCAACCATACTCAGCTGTTTCTTCACTTCTTACCTATAAAATTTCCCTAAATAAATATAAATATTTGAATTTACCTTCGAAATTCTCTATAATGAAGCTTTCTTTCTCCTCTTTTTCCAAAGAAACGTATCTGAAGGGTTGTGTTAATTTCAGGTTCTTTCACTTTTGGTTCCTATAAAAATGTTACAGTAATTTCAAGTAATTATAACCAAGAACAAAAAATAGATCCTTAGCCTGCAACTCAAGACAATATCCACAAAAGACTCTTGTAACAACAGCAACAAAGACGATGACTAAGGTGAAAAAGAGAAAGGCAGCCATTCTGTTACTTTGCCTAGCAACAATATATAATCATCTTTGCTGGGGCAGGAGAAAAACCAAGGGCTAGAATACTCAAAATAATTAAGGTGGACTTCAGCAGTAAACAAAGTTTTAAAAATATTCATACCTTTTGACCCAGTAATTGAATTTCTGAGAAGTTGTTCCTCATATATGTATCACATATATATAAAATGATGCAAGTACAGAATTATTAACTGTAGCATTCTTTGTAATATTAAAAGACTGGATACATTAAATATCTTTCAAAAGGGGAATGGTTACATAAATTGGTACATCAAAGCACTACAGAGCCATAAAAAAGAATGAGATACTCAGATATATTAAGGAAAAAGGAGAGTGTGTGGAACAATGTATACAGTATGTATGCTACTGCTTATATAAAACTGGAAAAAAGATATACAGATATATTTAGTTATTTATATATATACTTATATATGCACAAAATACCTCTGGAAGAATACATGGGAAACAGAGCACACATTGCTCAGGGAGAAGTGGTGACTGGGAGAAAAATTCTACATACTCTTGTGAACATTTTGAAGTCTACACCATATGAATGGGGCACATCTACTTAAAATATTTAGAAAAAATAAGTTACTGATAATTTTCCCAAGTATTTGGGAATACTTATTTGAATAAACAGAATAAAGGGCTAATATAATATCAATCTGTTTGGAAATGTTTACATTATCTGTACATACCTGGCACTCTGTTTCATTAGTTGTTGTCTTCAAGTCATCCTGTTTACTTATGATCTTCTGAAGCTAAAAAGATGGCAAACATCAATTTATATGTGTGTCTACTGGATTTTTCAAAACAACCTAAAAAACAGATGCTATGTTTTTGTTATAAAGTATACACTGGGTATTTGTTAAATATTAAATGAAATTCTTTTGATATTAACTCCTAATGTTATGTTTTTTTCCTCAGATCATGTCAGAATCAGAGGAGAAATAGATATGCAAGTATTAACATTATTATTACAATTTGGATCATTTTTTTCTCCTAAAGAAAGCCAGCTTACTCTATAAAAACTTCAGGATTACCCTCAATCTTCAAGAGAATTTTTATTCAACACTTTATTACTGATAGTTTATGGCCACATTTTCAAGCACATAACTCTTAAAAAGCTACTAATGTCATATAAATGTTTTTCCTTTTCCCTTTATGCATTTATAAAGCATTATAACTTAAAGATCTATATTTCTATCAATTATAAATTGGTAATAGTACCCTGAGACTGAGCACATTAATAAACCTACCTTTCAGAGTCATTTGTACCAATCCTCACGTGGAAAGCAAATTAAAAAAAAAAATTAAAAAAAATATTAAATGTAGACAAAATCTCAAACTATGAATTTAAATCAATTAGGAAATAAACCTTCACCCATTTCTTTCTAGGCTATTTCTTTGTTAACAGTTTAAAAATTGCTGGACACCCACTATGGAAAACAGTATGGAGTTTCCTCAAAAAATTAAATATGGAACTGCCATTTGACCCAGTGATCCCACATCTAGGAATAAATCTTAAGAAACCCAAAACACCAATCAGAAAGGACTTATGTACCCCTATGTTCATAGCAGTGCAATTTACAATAGTTAAGATCTGGAAATAGCCCAAGTTCCCATCAGCAGATGAGTGGATAAAAAAGCTGTGGTGCACTTACACCATGGAATACTATGCAGCTGTAAAGAAGGATCTCTTACCCTTTGGGACAGCATAGATAGAACTAGAGAGTATTATGCTAAGTGAAATAAGCCAACCAGAGAAAGACAAGTATCACATGATCTCACTCATATGGGGAATATAATGAACAAAATAAACTGATGAACAAAATAGATCTAGAGACACAGAAGCATGGAACAGACTGAGGGATCTCAGGGAATGAGGAGGTGGGGGAGTGGGTGGGGAGAGATTAATCAAAGACCCTATACGCATAAATGCAAGAATAAAAAAAACCCCTGCTGCACTTAAATTCCAAATTAATTATCTCAAATTCCGCTGATTCAACTATGTTTATTTTAGGCAAGTGGTTTATCTCTAATTCTCTAAATCCTTCAAACTTTTCAACATACTCCATACTTATTTTAGGAAAAAAAGGTGAAAAGCTGTTTTATCCTTTATTTTTATTTATTTATTTTTTAATATATCTTTATTGATTTCAAGAGAGGAAAGGAGAGGGAGAGAGAAGGATAGAAACATCAATGATGAGAGAGTCACTGATTGACTGCCTCCTGCACACCCCCTACTGGGGATCAAGCCTGCAACCCGAGCATGCACCCTGACCGGCAGTCGAACCCCAATCGCCTGGATCCTAGGTCGACGCTCAACTGCTGAGCTATGCCCAGCTGGGCCCTTTATTTTTTAAGTTGACAAACAGTATAATACCAAGTTCAATACCCAGCATTTTTTCCTAATGGTGATACTTCCTTTTCATTCTTAATATTGGTAGTATGGATCCTTTTTGGTTTTTTTTGCTAAAGTATAGTTGACTTACAATATTATACGTATTAGTTTCAAGTGTACAACACAGTGATTCAATATTTATACACATTACAAAGTGATCACCATGATAAGTCTCCTTACCTTTTGCCACCATACAAAGTTATTACAGTATTACTTCCTATATTCTCTATGCTGTTTGTTACTTCCTTGTAACTTACTTATTTTGTAACAGGAAGTTTGTATGCCTTAATTACCTTTACCTATTTTACCCACCTCCTTACCCCTGTCCTCTGGCAACCAGCAGTTTGTTCTCTATCTATGAGTCTGCTTTGTTTTGTTTGTTCATTTGTTTTATTTTTTAGATTCTACTTATAAGTGAAATCATACGGTATTTGTCCTTCTCTGTCTGACTTAATTTAGCATAATACCTTTATGTCCATCCATGTGGTAGCAAATAACAAGATTTCATTCTTTTTTATGGCTGAATATTTTTAAGTATTCAATTGTATATATATACTATGTCTTTTTAAAACAATCATCTAGCAAGGGACACTTAAGTTGCTTCTTTATCTTGGCTACCATAAATAATGCTGCAGGGAACACAGGGATGCATACGTTTTTTAAATTAGTGTTTTGGATTTCTTCAGATAAATACCCAAAAGTGAAATTGCTGGATCATACGGTAGATATATTTTTAATTTTTGGAGGTACTTCTATACTGTGTTCCATAGAAGCTACACCAATTTACAATTCCACCAACAGTTCATACAGGTTCCATTTTTTCTGGATCCTTTTTTTGCTACATCAACTACTGAAAATAAGTCAAAATTTATCATACACATAACAATTTTTAAAATAAAAATAACAGATATTATTCATAAAATGATTATAACTTTTTAAGGAAAATTCAAAACTAATTTTTTTCTATTATAAGATATTTAATATAGTTGTTATAATCTTCACAGTTATTGTCAAATAGTTACAAATAAACAAAACAAAAATAACAAATAGGATTAGTTCACTGAAATAATAATTTTTTAGGAGGCTTATTTATTATAATATTGGCTTATTATAACATGGTGTAGAATTTAGAACAAGGGTGTGTCCTGAAGTCTATCCAATGGGTTTAGTGCCAGATAACGCTTGCCATGTTAAAGTCTTCCCTAAAACACTTCAGTTTGGACTCAGGGAGAGGGTCATAGCAGGTGCTAGTGTACTGTGAAGATTACAGTACTGTATAGTTGGTTCTGTAGTAATAGCTCCATTTGAAAGATCACAAACACTTTGTACACAGGTGTGTTCTCATGCCAGGAGGTCTCTCTGGTCTCCTAAGAACTTTCTAAAGTGGCTGTGCATGATGTAGATTCATGATAGCAATGTACTAGGTACCCATTATGTGACCAAAGTTCTGTTCTAAGTGTTGGGAATATAGAGGTTAAGGACAGATAATGTTCTTGCTCTCACTGAAGTTATATTCTAATGGGCTAGAGATAACAAAACAAATGAACAAATAATTAAGAAATTTCAGATAATATTGAATGTTAAAACTAGAATAAAATAAAAGAAAGTAGGGTAACAGGATTCAGGACTGCTGAGGAGAGGTTGTTGTTATTTAGACTTATTCTGGGTAGTTCTCTTTGCAGACATGGCATTTGGGCTGAGATCTGAATGACTGAAAGCTAAGGCATGGGAAAAGGACCTTTTAGGTAGAGAGAAGAGCAAAGTTTCTGGCAGAAACAGGAGTGTTCTGTTAGACAAACATCAAGAAGATAAGCTGGTTAGATACAAGTTGTAAAAGAAGCAGAACAGCCCGGCCGGGCGTGGTTCTGCGGTTGAGCGTTGACCTAGGATCCAGGCGATCGGAGTTCGATTCCTGGTCAGGGCACATGACCGGGTTGTGGGCTCGATCAATGGCTCTCTCCTCATTGATGTTTCTATCTCTCTCTCTCCCTCTCCTTTCCTCTCTCTGAAATCAATATCTCTCTGAAAGATATATTTAAAAAAAAGAAAAAAAAAAAAAAGAAGCAGAACACATTTACCAAATACAAATCCTGAATGTCTAAAAAAGAACTGCCACATTGACTAAATTTACACGCATTCCTATTTTCAATTTCAGGCTGAAAATGGAGAAAAGTATGTAGGTTAACTAACTTATTTTTATTTGCAGATCATGATAGTTTAAATCCTGACACAAAAACACTATTCCAAAATCAAGAAGAAAAAATTCTGCTGAAGGCTTTTATATTTATTGAATAATAGCTCCAGGAGGTGTATTCCGCATGGCAGAATTTAACACTGCTGTATGAAGAGCATAATCCTTTCTGCCAGAACTGGAATGATGTGAAATAAAAGACCACCAAGGAGAAATTTAGACTAGTAAACAGACTTGTCATCAGTCTATTGTTTAAAGAAATTAAACGAAAACCCTGGCACTTATCCCAAATAAACAGGTGTGCCACCTATTAAGGTAAAGGTTAAAACAATTAACTACTACCAGCTCTGATCACTGTTGGTGTTGTTTATCTGACTGGGAACAGCTTATACAGATAGTTGCTAATTCACTTGTTCTTGAGGTAAAGAAGTAAGCAATACACTTGCCAACACAGTTTCTAGATCTGAATATGAGTAAAACATGAATGTACCACGAAACACCAAAGTAACAAACTGAAGCAATTTATACTTTTAGGACAGGACTTTATTTTAATATATTTCATCATTACTTTTGTGTTTGCTGTTCAAATCACTATTACATCTATATTTTCAGTATTAAAGTAATTCAGAAGTACACCTAAAACCTTTATGATCCTATTAACCAGTCTCACCCCAATAAAAGAACTGTTTGGTTTCTCCAATAAAACTTCAAATACAAGACTTAGATTTCCTAATACAATGACCATGGAAGTGAAATAATTATTTAAATAATTAATGTAAACATAGTTTTTTTCTCCTCTATACTGTTGTTTAAATTGACATGGTCCATGGGGTATCATGTTTAGTGTTGTTTCTAAGATCAGCACAAAGAAGCTTTTATAAGCTTAGAAGGCTTACCTTCATCCTCTCACAACCACATCAAAATTATAACTAAATTATGGAACGATCACTGAGTACCAACTGAATCCAGTTGAACAAAAGTCCTATTACTATGGATATACAGAAGCAGCCACCTCGAAACTGTTAGAAGGGGTGGAGAAGCAGAAGGGGCTTGTCCCACACCCACGTGTGGCTGATAAAAACTGGGAGGCCTATCTTGGCTGCAGACGTCCCCCCTGAGGAGCAAGGGGTCCCAGGGCCACACCAGGCCCCCCAATCCAGGGTTTCAGTGCCAAGAGGAGAAGTCTCCATAACTTCTGGCTGTGAAACCCAATGGGGATTATGGCTGAGTGAGGCAGAAGGTCTGCTGGAGTCCCAGGTGTGTTCCTCTTAAAGGGCCCAATAGACTTACTCAGACTCACTCTCTCTGAGCTCCAGTGCTGGGGCAGCAGTTGGAAAGGTGCCATACAGGGACATACAGGGAGGGACTGAATTGTCTGGTTTCAGGGTAAGGACTGGAGGGGCAACTTTCTCCCCAGAAAGAAGTGCTGGCAGACCGTTGTTCCTGTGCTGAGCCTTCCCCCTACAGAGCCCACAGGAGTATCCATCAACCTGGTTAACTCAGTATCCATATCTGAGCATCCATCAACCTGGTTAACATTGTTCACTGCCCTGGTAATTCCGAGATACCGCTGCACGCAGACTGTGGGCCCACCTAAGCCATTTCCAGTGGTTTTTCTATACAAACAGCCTGTCCTAGCTCATACTGCAGACTTTCCTAAAATCTCTCAAACAAGTAGCATTCTGGCCTCAGCATGCCTTGTACCTCTTGCTAAGTGGCCCCAGGCCTGGCACTAGTGGCAGCTGGCCTTGGTTCAAAGCTTGACCTCTCTGACACCTCCACCCCAGTACAACTAGCAGTCGCCCGCAGAACACTCTATAGCTCACGATGGGAGGCCCAATAGAGGGCATAGGTGGCGGCTGACCTTGGCCTGCACTTCCCAGAAGTTCCCAGAGCTAGTGCACCCAGTGGACAGCTTTGGACTATGCCAAAGCACCACACTACCACCTCCAAGAACTACACATTCAAGGCATGGGCTCAGCAGGCACCAGAGCCCCAATGAAGCAAGTCCTGCTCTGTGGCTTGGCCCCTGCATAGCAGATCCTCCACAATCCTTGCAGCAGTCCTCACAGAGGATGGGCCAGGGAGTAAATCCCTCCCACTGATGTGCCAATAGCAATCTAGTCTCAACCACAACAGGAGTGTTAGCTTACATGGGGGCTTATCTGAGTGCCCAGCTCTGGTTGCCTGGAAGGAAGGCTGTGCCACTAGGTCCTACAGAACATGTACTGTATAAGGCGACCTTACCAAGACAAGGAGATTTAGCAGCTCTACCTAATACACAGAAAAAAACACAGGGAGGCAGCTAAAATAAGCAAAAAAAAGTCCCAAATGAAAACAGCAAAATTCCAGAGAAAAAAACTAAACAAAATGGAGACATGCAATCTACCAGATGCAGAGTTCAAGACACTGGTTAAAAGGATGCTCAATTTATACCTATCGTGGCTTTTCCATTTTCCCCTATGTTTTATGAGGGCCTAAATTCTTGTTTTTCTTATCCCTTTCTTTGGGGGGAGGTGTAAGAATAAGTTTTAACAGACCTATAAAGCCCTTTCTATTGTACTGTATTATCATTTGCTGAAATTGTAAAAATAAAACCCTAAAAAATGTAGATGCTTCAGCTCATTTCTTTTTAGAATCTTATGTTCTGTTCCTTAACTATTTCCTCAAGGTTGTAATACAGAAAATTTAACATTTTTAATGTATAAATGATTTCCTGACATTTGATATATAAGCAGTGAATGTAATTTTGACTTTTATGAAAATGGTAAAATTATCACACAGATATCCAGGTGCTTTATGATAAACCAAAAATAACTAGAATCTACTTACCTTAAAAAATTCCTTTTTCTCAACCATTTCATCACCATCTGCATCCAGCATCTTAAAAGCAACGTGAAACCCGGTATGGGGTTCTGCAATCAAGAGAAAAATGAGTATTTAAACCTTGGTGAAGTGCAAATTATATACAACTCTAATAGATCTTCGAATCTGAAATCAGCCACCAAAAGTGACCTTTTCTTATGATAACGATTTTCAAAGGCTGATACATTTTCATGGGTATGCTGTTGTGCTATTAAGTGTGCTGCCCCTCAAAGAAAAAATAATTTGAGAACTTCATTATCTTTAACCTTCCTATACTCTAATAGGGCCATGGCTAGTTTCATACTGACTTTTACTTTTTATTTCCCTTTCTCAGAGCAGAGTTTTAAAAAGACTATTCTGAAATAATTTTAGACTTACAGAAATGTTGTAAATATTAGCATGGTGAGTTTCCATATACCCTTCATCCAACTTCCTCTGTCAACATCTTATATAACCACAGTACCTTTGTGAAAACTAAGAAATTAATACCATTATAGCATTTTAAATCTAAGTTCAGACTTTATTTTGATTTCAAGTTTTTCCCCTAATGCTGTTTTTCCTACCCTAGGATCAAATACAAAAAAACATGTTTTACTTAGTTGTTTCCTACTCTCTTCCAAGCTGTGCAAGTTTTTCTAGCTCTCCTTGATTTTCATGACCATGACAGTGTGACGACTATTGATTTTGTAGAATGTCAATAAGGGTTTTTAAATATAGAAACTAAGGTACCAATAATACACATACACACACACATTTTTTGTTAATCTTCACTCAAAGGTATTTTTCCATTGATTTTTAGATAGAGTGGAAGGGGGCAGAGAGAGACAGAGAAAGACCAATGTGAGAGACACATTGATTGGTTGCCTCCCGCATGTGCCCTGACCAGGGCTGGGGACTGAACCTTCAAACCAGGTATGCACCCGTGACGGGGAATTGAACACCTGACCCTTCAGTGCATGGGCTGATGCTCTAACCACTAGCTACACTGGCCAGGGCCCAATAATATTTTTAATGATAAGACATAAATACTGCCCTGCCCGGGTTGCTCAGTTAGTTAGATCATCACCACAATATGCCAAGGCTGCAGGTTTGATCTCTGGTCAGGGCACATACAAGAATCAACCAATGAATATATAAATAAGTGGAACAACAAATTGATGTTTCTCTCTTTAAAATCAATAAATAATAAATAAAAAAAGACATAAATACTAAAGTTCCCAAACTCTGTTCATTATTAATAGAAAATTCCACATGATTGTTGAGAAAAAATGTGGGATACTTACTAGTGAGGATTGTAAGCAAGAAAAGATACTCAGTATATGAAATTAACCCTGGAAGAGATAAGATAAAAACACTGGAAAATAAGTTTCAGATGGGTTAGAAGTAATCATATACATACTACATGGAAACGTCACCTAATTAAAAACACATTTTTCACTTTAAATTACAGTGGAAAACCTTTATAATAAAGTTCAGTACAGTACTAATACTTAAAAAAAGAAGATGCTAGATTTTATCAGATTACTATTACTAGTAAGGAGAGGGAATGGATGCTGGCTAGGAAATACAGGTATCCATTAGAGCAGGGATAGGGAACTTTTTTTCTGCCAAGGGCCATTTTGATTTTTATAACATCATCTCCAGGCCATACAAAATTATCAACTTAAAAATTAACAATGAAAAAAGCTCCTAGATTTATTGAATTTCGAGTCCCACCTGTGGTTGCCTTGGCCTGCCTAGTCCCCACCCCTGTACTAGAGGTTTTATTTGCATGGCACTCTATTTAAATTTTGCTCAAATTTTACTGTTCATAACATCTCAAGTAAGCACATTTATAAACTCAGTAGAATAACAGATTTGAATATACTAGGGTCAAACTGTATTATTTAAAATGAAACAATGAAATTCCTGTGGCAGATTGATTTTCCTCTGGGCGACCACTCCCTCCCCCATCTCCAACGTGCAGTTCAGATGGATAGTACATGAGTCCCTCTGGAGGCAGAGGCTGACTGGTTTGGACTGTTGCAGTACTTTGCAGAGCTGGTGCTAGAATGGCATACAGCTGACCTAAGCTCACAAGCAGGTTGCATTTGTTTGGTTGCAGAGGCTCATTCAGGGATGAGCTGTGACCTGTGCTGGGCCAAGCTGAGTGGGATTTCTGCAGAGAAGGCTGGAACATTCACTTCATCTTTCTCCCTGGGCTTTGAGGATGTGAAATTTGTTTCACTTAGGATGTGAGGTTATGGAGAGAGTCCTGGAACTGCCAGAGCTCAGCGTTTAGAGCCCAAGAATGGAGCCAGTCTTTAACTGGCAGGCCTGGAGGATAAACACTGGTGATGCTGAGTGCTGGATTAAACTGGGCATCACTGAAGCTAGCTGTCTGGCCACAAAATAAACTTCCTTACGTACTCAAGTAAATGGTGTGAGGTTTTACGTGCTTGCCATGAAAAAAATCACAATAATATAGAAGCAATATCTTATAACTTGTAGCTTTTTAGTAAGATAAAAAGAATTTCCCTCTGGATCATGAGTTTGGCATAACAAACTACACAATTAAAAAACTTCATCAAGGGAAACTTCAGTCATATACAAAAGTGGGGAGAATAACATGATGAATAATTATATATATCAGCTTCAGTAATTATCAGCTCATGGCAGGTCTCACTCTCTTTCCCTTACTGCCTACTGAATTAATCTGAAACAAAGCCCATATACCATTATTTCACAGTAGAAAATTCAGACTATATCTCTAAAAGGACTGTTCCTCCTCCCAAATATATTTACCACACCGAAAAAATTATCAATAATTCCTTAATATAATCAAATTAAAATTAGTGCTACAAACATCCCTGTTTCAGAAAAACTTTAAGTGTGCTCAAATCAGGATTCAAAGAAGATTCTTGCATTGCACTTGGTTGACAGATCTCAAGTCACTTTTTTTTTTTGTGGTAAAATACAGTAAAACCTCGATATAATGGACTAATTTGGGCGAGGGCTGTTTGTTAAAGCCGAAAGTCTGTTATGTAATAAAGGTTTTTCAAATGCATATGTTAAAAAATTGACAAATTAGTTTACCCGTTTTTACTTATGTACACATTTGTGTAATTAAAATTAAGTATGTATGAAAAGTTTAATTTCACAGGAAAGTTTTCTATATATATTACTGTAATTTTAAATTTATACTGAATAGGTCTAGTAAATGCATGCATTCACCAGTCACCGCAAGTAAACAAATGCACAACCGTGGCATATGGGGCGACTCTCTAACCAACTGAGTTATCCTGCCAGGGGCAAGAATTCCATTCCTTTTAAAGTGCAATAATATTCCCCTGTATGGATGGACCACAGTTTGTTTATCCATCATCTGTTCCCATCTTTTAGCTACTGTGATCAATGTTGCTACAAACACTGGTGTACTAATATCTGTTTGAGTCTCTGGTTTTGATTCTTTTGGGTATATACCCAGAAATGGAACTGCTGGATCAAATGGTCATTTTATGTTTAATTTTTTGAAGAACCTCTATACTGTTTACACAGTGGCTGCACCATTTTACATCTCCACCAAAAATGTGCAAGGATTACAATTTCCTGGCCAAAACTTGTTATTTTCACGATAATAATGGGTGTGAAGTGGCATCTCATAGTGGTTGTGATTTGCATTTTCCTAATGATCAGTCATGCTGAGCATACTTTCAAGTGCAAATTGGCTATTTGTATATCCTGTAGAAATGTCGATTCTACTTTGCCCACTTCTAAATTTTATTTTTTTGGTTGTTAATCCTCACCTGAGGATATTTTTTCCGTTGATTTTTCTTTTAGAGAGAGTGGAAAAGAGGGGTGGAGGGAGGGAGGGAGAAGGAGGAAGGGAGGGAGAGGGAGAAAAAGGAACATTGATTAGAGGGACATATGGATAGATTACCTCCCGCATGCACCCAGACCAGGGCCAGGTATCCAACCTGCAACCCAGGTGCCCTTGACCAGGAATTGAATTTTGGTGCACAGGCTGACGCTCTAACCACTAAGCAACAGCAGCCTGGGTGATAGTGTACTTTGATTCACAGAAGTTTTGAATTTTTATTTTGTTCCTTCTCTCTTAAATCTCTTTTAATCTATAGGTTCTCTCTTGTCTTTTTCCCCCTCTCTTTCAACTAATTTGTTGAGGAAGCCTGGTCATTTATCTTGTAAAGTTTATTACAGTCTAGAAAATTTTGATGACTGCATCTTTGTAGTGTCATTTCATGTTCCTCTAACTTCTACAAGTTCTACAAACTGGTAGTTAGTTAGATCCAGAGCTGTGCTCAGATGCAATTTTGATTTCTGGCAAAAATTCTTAATAGAATTTTGACATACACCAGGAGGCTGAAATGCAAATGTTTACAGAAAACGCTAAATGCCATTAAGAGATACTGATAGCAAGATTTATAGGACTTCAGAAAAATGTGAAATCATTTCCTGAGTTTGGATGACCAGAAGTGTCATTCTAAAAACGGTCTTTGAAGGATGGGTGAAAATTTTAATTAAGCAGGTGTGATATAAGTGGGAAAGCCATATAAGAAAGATCTGAAATGTTTATGTGGAAGAAGCAATGGGAAGTAAAGTTACTATGGTAACGCAGAAATGAGGAATACAGACTTGAAGAGGCGATGGCAGAGGAGGAAGACCACATCTGTAATGCAGACATGCAGGGCCGGTTGTTCAGAAAAAGGCAGGTAATGATTTTACATCCAGGTACTGTAATTCCATGTTTTAGCCGTAAATAACTTCAGATATATATATTTTAAATGTTTTTAATGACTTTTTTTTGCATCACCAACTTTTCTGTTGTTTTTATTTTGAAGCAGGTGTACTTCTCTTTAATAAAAGAGCCTACACAGTAAGTCTTCAGAAATTTTTTTCTTTAAAATATTCAATGTTCCTATGAAGGCACTCTTAGTTGAAGGAACGAAGTATTTAATCCCTTGGCAGCCTCACAGAAAAGTGAATAGCTTTTTTCTAATTTTCAAAGGAATATGGCAATGTGAAGAAATGGTCAAATTGCTAGACTTAATTGGTGGGCTTGGTGCCAAAAGGAGACCTCACATTTCTTTTCTCTAGACATAAGTCCATGTCTTTTCCACAGAGGGGCTGTTTGAAAAAGAAAATTCCAGTCTTTCTTTGAAATGCTGACATAAATAAAAAGCTTGAATAAACATAGAGTTGAGACAGTGTAAAAATAGCACCCTTTACTCTCAAGATAGATTAGAGGCAAGATATTTGTATAACAGCATTCTAGGCATCTGCCCTCTGAAAATGCTTTTTAAAATTTACTGACACTTTAGAATACTTATGGGAGAAACAATTTAATACATATTTGTTACATCTAATTGCAAAATAAATGATGTTAAATAGCAATGTTTCAAAACTGCACATCAAATAGGGAAGTGTTTCAAATCATTTATATTTAAAAATTTGTTTAAAAAATCCTTAGGGGCCACTAGAAGAGATGATTAAATTCTGTCACTATGCTTCTCTGGAAATATTTAAAAACTGGAATCATTATAAAATATGACTTGCCAATGAGTACAATTTTGAGAACCTTGTTCCCCAAAGAGAAATTACCACATTTGTCATAAGAATATGTATCTTACAACATGTCTTGTAATTTATATTCAGTACATCTTTCAGAATGGTATTATATTGAGAATTCTGCTCAGGTTTAAAAAATACATAATAACCATAACTTACAATTTCCTTTTAAATAATGCATGGTGGGTAAAATTCTTTCTTTATTTCAAGAATATACTACCTTTTGCCAGTTATGAGATAGTGAAAACTTTTATAGTTCTTTTATGTGGATTCTCTTTGAGGCCTTCTCTTGTTACTTTAGATATTATGCCTGCTTCTCCTTTCTAGGCTTTAATGAAAATCAATGCTTGAATAATTTATCTGTGATTGCTCAGAGTATGACAAAGTTACTTCCTACTTAATGAGTATTTTATTATGATTTATAAAAACCTATTAAATAACACAGTGTTGCCCTAGCTGGCTTGGCTCAGTGGTTAGAGTGCTGGCCTGTGGACTGAAGGGTCCCCAGGTTCAATTTCGGCCAAGGGCTTGTACCTCGGTTGCAGGCTCGATCCCCAGCCCTGGTCGGGGTGCATGTTGGAGGCAACTGATTGGTATGTCTCTCTCACATCAATGTTTCTCTAGCTCTCTCCCTTCCACTGTCTCTGAAAAAGCAATGGAAAAAATATCCTCAAGTGAGGATAAAAATAAGTAAATAAATAAATAACACCATGTTATAACATTCTCTATGTAGATCCTCTACTATACATTCTCTAACACACAGCTGCAAATCTCATACCATAATTTCTTAATAATGCTTTGGTTAATAAAAACACATAAGTAGAAACTTAACAACAAATCACAATTACCTTTATCGCCAAGGTCTCTAAAAAAGGTTGATCCACAGCGAGTTGTTTGGGTTGCTGCCAATGCATCCTCAATATCCTTTAAATATACACATATTAAAATCTTTTAATTTAAATTACAGAAGTTCATTTCCTATCATAAGAAAAAAAAGAAACAAAGAACCCCTCTCTACACACACACCGCTTACCTTTTTTGTCAGCCTCTTGACTGAAGTTTTACCTATAGCAAAGAAGAAACATTACTTAGTACCTATATTCCTTGGTAAAACTCGACTTCCATTAAGAAAAAAATAATTTAAAGACAAAACAAACACCTAAATATTTATTTAAAAAATAAGTTTGGCAATTTTAGCTAAAATCTTTAAATGAAAGTTACCAACCAGAGAATTCTAAAGTCTAAACACAAATATACTGTAGATTCTTTCTAAGACTTGTTTTCAATTTCACTCATCCCATCTCAGACACATAAGTTATAATTGGCATATAATATCCCATTAGTTTCAGATGTACACCATAGTAATTTGATAATTATATACATTACAAAATGATCACTACAGTAAGTCTAGTTACCAACTGCCACTATACAAAGTTATTAAAATGTTATTGACTATATTCTTTTTTTGTTAATGACATTTAAAATACGTATGTATATTTTTTATTGATTTCAGAGAGAGGAAGGGAGAGGGAGAGAGAAACATCAATGATGAAAGAGAATCATTGATCAGCTGCCTCCTGCACAACCTCTACTGGGGATAGAGCTCACAACCCAGGCATGGTATGTGCCCTGATCAGGAACTGAATTGGGACCTACTGGTTCATAGGTCAATGCTCAACCACTCAGCCATGCCAGCCGGGCGACTATATTTTTTGTTGTTGTTGTTAATCCTCACCTGAGGATATCTTTTCCATTGATTTTTAGAGAGAGTGGAAGGGAGGGAGGGAGGCGGAGGGAGAAAGAAAGAAAAAGAGAAACATAAATGTGAGAGAGAGAGACATTGATTGGTTGCCTCCCACACCTGCCCTGACCAGGGCTGGGGATCAAACCTGCAACCTAGCCCGGCCGGGCATGGCTCAGTGATTGAACATCGACCTAGGATCTAGGCGATTGGGGTTCGATTCCCAGTCAGGGCACATGCCCGGGTTGCGGGCTCGATCAATGACTCTCTCATCATTGATGTTTCCGTCTCTCTCTCTCCCTCTCCTTTCCTCTCTCTGAAATCAATAAAGATATATTTAAAAAACAAACAAAAAACCTGCAACCTAGGTATATAACCTTGACTGGGAATCAAACCTGAGACCTTCTGGTTCAAGGGCCGACATTCTAACCACTAAGCCACACCGGCCAGGGCTTGACTATATATATATTTAAACATATCTTTATTGATTTCAGAGAGAGGAAAGGAGGGGGAGAGAGAGAGATAGAAACATCAATGAGAGAGTCATTGATTGGCTGCGGCCCGCAACCCGGGCATGTGCCCTGACCGGGAATCGAACCCTGATCTCCTGGATCCTAGGTTGATGCTCAACCGCTGAGCCACACCCGGCTGGGCTTGACTATATTTTTTATGCTGTATTTTACATTCCCATTACCTCTTAATCCACTTCATCTATTTCAACTGCCCCAAACCTCCCCCCACCGGAAACCACCAGTATGTTTCCTGTATCTATGAATCTGTTTCTGTTTTGTTTTTTAGATTACACATATAAGTGAAATCATATGATATTTGTCTTTCTCTGTCTGACTTATTTCACTTAGCATACTACCCTTCAGGTCTCTCCACTGACATATAAAGTCTTGTAAATACCTTTGACTTAGTTTAGTTGTCTGCATTATAAATTCTTATCAAACATGACTTTGTTCACATAATTATTAAAATCTGTCTCTTTTTGCTTTCACTGATTAAATACACTTTCATGTTTTAGAAAGCATGAAAGTGTATTGGCTCCTGTAAAATTCTCTTAAGCTTAGAGCTCTGCAGTCAAATTTAAAAGGCTAGCCAACATGACTGTCCATTCTAAAGTGAAGTTACTTTCAATAATTTCCTATTGGATAACAGCGATTTAAAATTCTTTCAGGTTTTCAGCCATTTTCTCTACGGCTTACATCATTTTCCTCTTACCCACTATAATTCTAAAGCTATCACATTGCTTCTTTGGTTGTCAGCCATTTTATACAGCTAGAACAATGCTGGAAAAGGTCTTGTTTTGTTTCTTACATAAGCCATGTGCATGCATTACAAACTTCCCTTCTTGCTCTTAAAATATGTATGAAGTTCCTTTTGTATATTGAAAATTCAGGTGACAAGTTAAAAAAATAAATACGTTCACGTGTCTTTCTGTAGTTTCAATACTTAATTGGGACTATAAACCTAGTGGGGATACATTCTATTATTTGATGTTAGTAAACTGACAAGATTTTATTTTTGCATTATTAATCAAAACATTAACTGTGAATATGATTAGATAATTTTTAGAAACACCTATGACCATGTTTGGAAGGTTAGGTTCCAGTTTGGGATAATTTTTATTCATTGATATTACATGTCACCAAATGACAAAGAACTCTAGATTGTAATGTTAGGTGCTATCCCATGAGATCATCAGGTAGATAAACATCACCATTTAATTTACAAATCTAAGTGTGAATGTGTACTTAGAATATGCTGGTAAGAACCCCCAGAAAAGTCTGTATGTAGTACATGTATTTTCCTATATTTACATATTTTATTAACTTAAGAAATTGACCATGCCCTGGCCTGTGGGGTTCAATGGTTTGGTGCCCATGCACCAAAGGGTCTTGGGTTCGATTCCTGGTCAGGGGCATATACCCGGGTTGCTGGTTCAATCCCTGCCCCTGGTCACATTGATGTTTCTCTCTCTCTCTCTCCCCCCTCCTTCCTCCCTTCCACTCTCTCTGAACAGCAATGGAAAAAATATATATCCTTATGTGAGAATTAACCAAAAAAAAAAAAGGAAAAAAAGAAGAGAAACTGATCATGCTTCACATGCCTTATACTGCTTTTTTTAAAGTTATGTCACAAATTATTCATTACCAAATGTACTTTCATTTTAAAAAAATCTGATTTCTGAGAGAAGAAGGGAGAGGGAGAGAGATAGAAGCATCAATGATGAGAGAGAATCATTGATGGGCTACCTCCTGCATGCCCCCTACTGGGGATAGAGCCTGAAACCCCAGGCATGTGCCCTGACCAGTGGTGACCTTCAGGTTCATGGGTCGACACTCAACCACTGAGCAACACTGGTCAGGCAGTCTCATCAGTGTTTTAAAGAGAGATTGATCCTTGTTCCTAGCTGAAGAAGTGTTCTAGGAAGTAATAACTGACATCTAGAAGGTGACATCTTCAGGTGGCAGTATGGATGATTTCTAAGAAATAAGATTATTTCTAAGCAGTCTTATATCTGCTTCATAGCAAGATTCCTTTCTAGTCTTTTAAGAATCCTTGTGGTGACATAGGAAAAGATGACGGCACTCTTAACAAGAGGCTGAATGCCCTTGCTTCCAGCCATGGACTGGATTTACAGCTAAAATACTGTGCAGCCAGCTTGGAAAAACAACAGAAATATAGCTAATTGGGCATATTTCTACTAAGGAGCACTGAAGAAAAACATCCTAGAGTCTAGTAAGGGGGGGGGCATGGGAAGGGGGAGTTCCCCCTGAAGCCAGTGCTGAGGCCCGAGAGTTAGAGGCTGCAAAGCTCCCTCCCCTTGCGAGTTTGGACTGGCACCCAAAAGCAGGGATCTCAAACCCTGAGCGGTGGAGAAGGCAAGGACAGCCCATGCACAGGAGGTAAAGGGAGCCAGGGTAACAGTCTGGGTGTGAGAAGATGTCAGAGCGCCTTCCCGGTGGAGGAATGTGCCTAATGATGGCAGCCCGGGTAGGTGACATTCACCCCAGGTGCTAACCGCAGGAAAGGCTGTGTCCAGCAGTGTGTGGCTTCAGAATAGAAAGAGGCCTGTGGGCTGCACACAGCAGTGACCTAAAGGGACCCTCTGCTTTCCTGTAAGGCATTGTATAGAGCCCCAGAAAGCATTTAAACTGTGTAGCACAGGGAAGGGGAAGGGAGACCTCCTGCCAACAGAGAAAGACTGCAGCTGCTGGTGGGGTGGATCAAGGATTTTTCACCTGCTCTGAAGAGAGCCAGGATAGCTTGTGGAGCTTCCTCAGCTTTGCTGAGATCAGCTAGCTGTGCAGGAGACCTGTGTAGGGCTGACTCTGTAACCCTTCCTGCTTGGATCCGAGGCGTAAGGGTGCCAGATCCTCGCAAAGCAGGTTTTCTGCCTGTGTGTTACTTTGCTTTTGATCACTGGATGGCACCCCACGGCATCCACCTTCCTGGATTACAATGGAGAGACAGACCGGTGAAAGCAGGGATTTGTGCCTATATTGTGGAGAGTCTGAACCGAGCATCCTATGAGGTCAGACAACCAGAATTGGGAAAGGAGAGGTGGAGCACACCTACCTCTCCTGCAGGCTAGGAGCACAAACCCCTTCCGTTCAGCTCACTGAAGACCCAGGTACCCCCTGCTGGGCACAGTTTGGTGGGGGAAGGGAGAATAGCTCATAGGAGGGCATTATAAGAGTAATACTCTCAGGGATTATTGTTTGGAATACAGAGGAAATGCTTAAAACCCCTTCTGGGGGAATAAAGGGAAAAAATGACATTAAATAAGTATATATCAATAATAACCTTAAATGTAAACAATAAATGCTCCAATTAAAAGACATAGGGTAGCTGAATGGATAAGAAAACATGACCCATATACTTGCTGTCTACAAGAGACCCAACTCAAAGCAAAAGATTCACACAGGCTGAAAGTAAAGGGATGGAAAACAATACTCTAAGCAAATGGAAATGAAAAAAAGCTGGGGTAGCAATACTTATTTCTGACAAGCAGGCTTCAAAATAAAGACCATATCAAGAGACAAAGAAGGTCACCGTATAATAATAAAAGGATTAATCCAACAGGAGGATATAACCCTTATAAACATATATGCATCCAATATAAGTGCACCTAAATATATGAACAAATTCTTGGTGGACTTTAAGGGAGAGATCAACATCAATACAATCATAGCGGGGGACTTTAACACCCCACTGTCATTACTGGATAGATCATCAAGACCAAAAAAATCAACAAGGAAACACAGACCTTAAATGACACACTAGATCTAATGGATTTAATTGACATTTACAGAAT